GGGGGGCCGCGGGAGGGGAGGTTGGAGGGGTTCGCAAGCAGTCGCGTCTCCTGCCTAGCGAGCGGGGTCCGAGGCCATGCGGGGGGACACAGGCGGGTCTTTCCATGGGGTGGGACGACAGTTCGGGGCTCTGCTGCCTGGGGTCTGGTGCAACGCATTCGCATCTCCAGCCGTGACGAGCGCATTCGCGCGCGACGTTCCTTCGGCGACCTCCTCCATCGCCTTTGCTGCTCCGCCGTTGCGCCACGTGTCTGCGGGCGTCCCTCTCATCGCCAACTCTTTCCCGTCCTTCTGCCCGCTGCTGGGGTCCTCTTCGCGAATAGTCGCGCCATCGTGCGCGCTTCGCCATCGTCGAAGAATTGTGAGTCGTTCAAGACTTGTTCCCCGTCAAAGAGCTGCGTCATTGTGTGCGTTGTGCCCTCGTTAAGGTAAAGTGGTTTTTTGCCTGCCCGAGTGTCAGTCGTCGCACATGCTTGCCGACGCATGGGAGCAGCCGCATCGCGCCACGTGATGCAACTCCCGGGGACGACGGGAACGGATGTCGAGCACATTCTGTATGCCCTTTTGCTTCCCACTCGTTCGTTCCTCGCGAGCGGCCCCGTCACTCTTGCTTACCATCATCATCATCATCACTATCATCATCTTCATCATCGTCCTCCAATCCATTTATGATTTATATAACTTTAACATGTTTCTTTTGCCATTTCCTGAATTATTTTGATTGTTTTGTGGATTAGTATTTACAAATAATCATCAACGTCATTTTCTGAATTATTTGATTCTTTTGTGGATTAGTATTTACAAATGATCATCATCATCATCATCATCGTTGTCATCATTATCAACACCATCATCATCATCATCATCATCATCATCCTCATCATCATCAACGACATCATCAACACCATCATCATCATCATCACCGACATCGTCGTAGTCATCAACAACGCCACCGTCCTCGTCATCATCATCATCATCATTATCATCTGCACCGCAATCAGCATCATCATCATCTGCATCAACACCCTGATGATCATCATGTTATCATCATCATCGTCTGCGTCGCAATCAGCATTATAATCATCTTCATCAACACCCTGATGATCATCATGTCATGGCAGGTGTCGCAAGTGGCGGGGACGGAGGGRACGGATGACGAAGACATTGGGGCACACGGTTGCTGTGTTCCCTTCTGCTTCCCTCTCGCTCGTTCCACGCAATCGCCCCCATGATTCCTGTTTGGGTTGGCGATGGGCCAGATGGTTTCTGTATTTCGTTCTCTTCGCACTCCTTCGTTCCTCGTGAAAGGCCCCATGATGCCTGCTTCGCTTGGCATTGAAGACGAGCCAACTGAACATTGCAAAACACTCCCACGTGGTTGCCATACTGAACATTGAAAAACACTCCCGCGTGGTTGAGGCAAACACGAAATCGCCTTTTTCCAGCAGAACACGAGATCCCGTCGACAAAAGTTCCTTGCACGTTTGCTTTTCTCGACAAACAGTTCAGACTTTGTTTAACAAAAAGGACATGCATTGGACTGCAAATCCACGAGTGATGGTTCGAATCCTTCGCAGGGCAAACAGTGGTAGCGGCGGGTGTGCTGAACGACCAGCGGGCGCCACATCGGCTGCGCGCGACCAGGGTTGGAATTAAGCATCGCGCGGTGGCCGCCGTGCGAACGATGTCCACCGTCCACGTGGCGTGCAATGAGAGGAATGGTGTTCATCAACAGGAGGGGGTCGCCGTTCCGTTTTCATGTTTTCGTCACAACACTTGTGCCTCCCTCCCCGGAGAGACTACGACGTCAATCCTGGGAGAGTTGGTGTCGTCTCCATCCCGCGCACACAACGTGCACATGATCCACCATAGAGGCCATGGATGTTGAGCACGCGTGCCTGGCGCAGGTAATGAGGGACGTGACAGCAAATTGCGTACGAAAAACGCCAGTGCTGTGCTCGCAACATCCGCGGGGTCCAGGACGAAGAATGCACACGTTGCGTGCGCACGATGGAGAACGACAACACGGCTAGCTGCGATGACAATGCCGTTTCTTCGGCGTGAGCATCGCATGTTTCGTGACGAGAACCTCAACATGAAAAAACGAGCTCGTTCAATAACAAACAACCCGGCCGCCTCGGGGACACGTCTTATTCGTCGGGGAACGGTGGGTCGCCATTGTGACTGTAGGCGCGAAACCAACATCCGCCAAACATAAAAAGGCGAGTCGCGTGTCGTTGCCTGGCGAGATGGGAAGTTTGGATACCGGCGAACTACAACAATCATGTGTAGTGCTCTCACGGAAGTGGCATTGTGTTGCCGTCGCGCGGCCGTTGGGAGAGCACGCGCCTCTGAGAAAACAGCGCATGATTGCTGTAGTTCGCCGGAATCCGAAGTTTCATTTTCGCCAGGTTTTCACACGCGACTCAACATTTTTGGTTTCGCGTTCGCAGTCACAATGTCGTTCCCGGTTGCCCTGGTGACTAGCTTTTGCGAGAAATTTTCCAGCTTCAGGGCGTGGGGCCGATAGTTGAGAACGCCCTGCTAGTTGTCACCGTGCGAGGGCTATAACACGAAGTTCGGATCCCGACGGACTTGCGATCAGAAGCATGCAAAGTCGTGATCTGCTCGCATGGTCATTGTTGTTTCAACCGCATCGCTGAAATCACACGCTTGCTGTTTGCATGGATCTTAACGGAGTCCTGGGTACATGACTGTTCTTTGGGTGGCGTTCCTGCAAAAAAAAAAGTCATGTTCTTTGGGTGGCGTTCCCTCGAAAAAAAAAGTCATGTCACTGGGAGCCCAGCAAAAACAAAGTATGTCATGCTCCCGGTCGACACGCGGCAACAGATGTCAAGTTCGGATCCCGGCCAACGGTGGTGTCGTCATCGGCATGCGTGCAATCTGGCCACCAACATTCCCGTGTCTTCGCGCGCATGGCGGTTCACGCTATCATATGTCGACATTGGCAGAGAGTGAGTCAGGCCTCGCCTTCTTGACTGGACGAATCGTCGTTAGATGGGGTTGCAGGGGGGGCCACCATCCATGGTGATTTCTTTTGGTGGGTCCAGTCATTGTCATCACGGATCACAACATTTGTGACTGCATCGCCGCGCAAGCTCGCTTTGTCGGTGGGGAGAATCGACATCTATGGGGGTCTATTGGGGGCCATGCTGCGCCGATTTCTGACATGGTGCACCTACGACTACCATTTCTGTTGTATTTCTGTTGTGCGTGCTCTTGTCGAACAGACACTTGCGAACAGCAGCAGGGCCTCCCTGACCAGGCACACATGCATAGCGTTCCTTCTGTGCACTTCAACACCCATCCTCGAGATAACCGACATCCCCCGCACAAACTGGTTCCTCGCCAGTCCATCAAACGCCAAGTTCGGATCCCGGTGGACTTTGAGGTCCCACGAAAAATTCAACCGCCAAGTTCGGATCCCGGCGAACTTTGAGGCTCCGCGTGAATCCGACCGTTGTTTTCAACAGCTTCGACTTTCCCGTCTGTCTTCAATGCCGGCGGCCTGGTGGTGCGCAAAAGTGCTCGCCTTGTGATTGGCCCTAAAAGGGGTTCATTGGGGTTGACGATGGTGTCGGTGGCCGGGTCGATTTCCTGTGTGCCCTCCAATAAAAGCCATTCTCAATTCTTCGTGTCTGCGCTGTGTGCATGTCTGAGTTCGACAACCTACTGTGGTAGTACATCTGATTACACGGTGTTGATAGTCGGTGTTTATAGGGGTCAGTTTGGGGTCGCGCTGCGCCGAATTGAGTGGTCATGCATCCGCCGTTACCCTTTCTTCTGCACGTGCTATCGTACAACGAAAACTTCGGAGCGGCAGAGCCTTCCTTCTATGCGCCCAGACATAGCGTTCCTTATGTGCACCCGCTGGCGCTCCCTTCCACTGGCATCGGCCGTGCAATAACAGGTTCCTGGCTGCTCCAGCTCCCGCCAAATTTGGATCCCGGCGGACTTTGAGGACGAGTAAATCGGATCGTTGTTTTCGACAACTTCGACTTCCCCGTCCGTCTTCAATGCCGGCGGCCTGGTAGTGCGCAAAAGTGCTCCCTTTCGAATTTGCCCTAAAAGGGGTTTATTGGGGTTGTCGACGATGTCAGTGGCCGGGTCCTTTTCCTGTGTGCCGTCGATCTTCGTTGCCCTCCAATAAAAGCAGTTCTAAATTTTTCGTGCCCGCGCAGTGTGCATGTCCGAGTTCGAAAACCTCTTGTGCTAGTGCATCTGATTAGACGGTGGTGAGAATCGACGTTTATAGGGGTCAGTTTGGGGTCGCGATGCGCCAAATTGTGTGGTGGTGCATCCACCATTACCCATTGTTCTGCGCGTGGTATCGTACAACGAAAACTTGAGAGCGGCAGAGCCTTCCTTGTATACGCCCAGACATAGCGTTCCTTATGTGCACCCGCTGGCGCTCCCTTCCACTGGCACCGACCGCACGAAAACAGGTTCCTGGCTACTCAAGCACCCGCCAAATTCGGATCCAGGCGAACTTTGAGGCTCCGCGTAAATCTGACCGTTATTTTCAACAGCTTCGACTTCCCCGTCCGTCTTCTATGACGGCGACCTGGTAGTGCGCAAAAGTGCTCGCCTTGTGAATTGCCCTAAAAGGGGTTTATTGGGGTTGACGACGGTGTTAGTGGCCGGGTCCTTTTCCTGTATACCGTCGATCTTCGTTGCCTTCCAATAAAAGTCATTCTAATTGATTTGTGTTTGCGCAGTGTACATGTCCGACTTCGACAACCTCTTGTGCTAGTACATCTTATTACACGGTGGCGAGAATCGGTGTTTATAGGGGTCAGTTTGGGGTCGCGATGCGCCGAATTGTGTGGTGGTGCATCCACCATTACCCTTTGTTCTGCGTGTGCTATCGTGCAACGAAAACTTGAGAGCGGCAGTGCCTTCCTTGTGTGCGCCCAGACATAGCGTTCCTTATGTGCACCCGCTGGCGCTCCCTTCCACTTACACCGGCCGTGCAAAAACAGGTTCCTGGCTACTCAAGCTCCCGCCAAATTCGGATCTCGGCGAACTTTGACGCTACGCGAGAATCTGACCGTTATTTTCAACAGCTTCGACTTCCCCGTCCGTCTTCTATGACAGTGGCCTGGTAGTGCGCAAAAGTGCTCGCCTTGTGAATTGCCCTAAAAGGGGTTTATTGGGGTTGACGACGGTGTCAGTGTCCGGGTCCATTTCCTGTATGCCGTCTATCTTCGTCGCCCTCCAATAAGAGCCAACATCGTGATAAGTGTGGTTTAGTCGCTGTCATGCTTCTTCCACGGCGTGCTTTGCGGTTCGCGCAGTCGCGTGTCGACATTACGAAGACGCTTTGTCATCGAAGCCACGCGTGCTGCAAAGGCTTTCAGTCCCAGTGCACAACCTTCGAATCGACGGGCATTTAATCGGGGTTTGCAGGGGGCAGCTGAGGGTCATGGAACCATGTTTTTTTCTGCCTGTCATAGCCTTGCATTTGTTATGACGATTGGCTGGCAGTGAGTTCACGACGACCCGTTGATAACTGGTTAGCCGTCGATTCCATTTCTGCGAAGTTCGGATCCCGACGAACTTCTGTCCGTGAGTGTTCGACCGTCCATTGCGCACGTCTAGCTACTGATAGGACACGTCCTACTGGGCGCAACATACAAACAGAAATGTGTCGACAAATTAACAACATAGATTCACGCCTGGCCGGTGGAGTGTCCGGCCCATAACCAAATATCACCGACCACATGCAGGCAGCACGAGGTAGACATCTATCAATGTGGGCCGCATTACAGGCTTCCTCATAAACACTGGCCATGCATGAGTTCGTGAACTGTCGAAGCGATGGCATGTTATATGGTGTCGATACTCGCCTGGCCCTCGACGTTGATGAGGGTCTCATTCGACACTCAAGTGTCGATTGACACGCGCCTTGAGGGACTTGCCTCTCGACGCTAAACAACCGCCAAGACGGTTGCGTTACCTACCCTCTTCAGCTACTTGCGGGAGCGACGGGTAGGGGGGCCAAGGCCCTTTGTGGCAGCTGAGTTCCATCTGCGAAGGCCTTTAAAAAGGTCAAGGGTTTTGACTTTGACAACTGCTACGGACTTCAACGTCCAACTACAAAAGTATAAAAAGCAAAAGGGGGAAGGGTGTCTCCGTTCTCTATTCTGGGGGGGGGG